AGGCACAACTGCTTTGACATCTGTACACTTAATATCCTATGCATTAAAAAAATATCAATACAGGTTGCACTTAAAAAATCCAAAGATCAGTTATCTGAAAACTTTGAAAATCCCCCCAAATTTGAGTGGTAGCATCTTTAAATATTCTAAGTTTACTGTGTTTGCACTACTTTGTTGAGCCGCTGAATGATCTACAGCAGTTGTAGCACACTCAGCTGACTGCAGAGGTAAATAAACAAAGCTTTCTTCACTATGCATGTATTTATGGTATTATATTGCTGTTATTATTAACCTTATTTATTATGTTACTTATGCTTAATTTCAATTATACACATATAATTATCATATAGTATCTTATTTAGTGCTCAGTGAAATGTTAGGGTTTTTTATAATGACCTTCAATTATCTGAAATGGCGTTGGTCACAAACATTTTTGGATTTTTTAAGTGCAATCTGTGTATTGTATTATATAAATTACTATTTCCAATACAAACACACAAAATATATGCTTGATTTAGTTATTGAATTTCTATTAGCATATGCCTTCGAAACTCAATTCAATACAGCATCAACATCCAAAGGCAGACTTTGGCTGTGGCTGAAACCATGACACCCCTTTTACTATGGATATCTGTCTAATTTATACCATTTCGGCTTATATGTACTTATCTTTTCTAGGAACAACACAACCCATAGTATAAAGGAAGAACATGTTGCACATGATGAAGTGGACAAGACGAGCCACTTGATACACATAATCCAACAAACATGTCTGCCACACTGGGCTATAAATCACCAGGAAACTGCAGACATTCAAAACTTGATACCGAGCTGGGTAAACCCATGGTTGGTGAGGGATTACTGTCTATACACAGAGGAGAATGACAAGACTAATCCTGGGCATTAGGAACCTTGAGTACAGATACAGACAAAAGCACCTGAATTTGCACTCCCAAGAGAGAAGTAGAGTGAGGGGCTATATGATTGAGGTGTATAAATGGAAGTTATGGTTAAACAAAGGTGATATAAAAAAGGTATTTAAACTATCCAACCAGAAGTGAACTCATAGCAATGGTTTTAAATTAAACAAATTTAGATTTAGGCATGAGACAGGTAAACATTGGTTTGGAAAAAGTATAGTGGAGAAGTGGAACAAGTTACCAAACATCATCATTCACTCAAACACGAGGGATAGCTTCAAATATAGGTTGGGCAGATATATGAGTGATAGGGGTTGGGGGTAAACAGGATTGCCCAGTATGGGCCAATAGGCCCGCTGCAGTTTCCTCAATTCTTATGTTTTTATGTTCTTAGGTGTTGATCTGATTAATTTTATTCAGCAGCTCGTGTTTAAGGAAAACTACTGTAGTAAAAAAAAATAAATAAAAATGCTCTATACTCCAAGAAGGACACTAAAGAGCTTGAGACTTAATATTAAATTGTGCTTTAGTGTTACACTGATCAAAATAAAAGCAGCCACAGTAGCATTTTCACTAGACAATTGAGATGAACTGATATTTTGCCCAACACATAGAAAAATCTGAATATTACACGGCCGTCAGCAGAGGTGGGAAATATAACTGCGAACAACTTCATATTTCCCGTCTCTGCTGAAGGCTCAGGCAACCAAGCTCCCCAGTCTGTTACATTCATCCACAAACTTTCAGAGGCCGTGTAATATTCCAATGTGATTCTGATCTTTTAAAATGTTAGTTTTTGCATAATGTAGTATTTTTGCATGATGTAGTATTACTGACACGTAATTTGTCTTAGTATGCCTTATTGTGAATAAAAATAAGTATACAGCCACTCCTCGACTTATGACGGGGTTAGGGACCCAAATCCAGGTCGTAAGTCGAAAACGCGAAGATAATACATAGAAAATCTAAAATGGGTGTCTCTTTTTCTTCTCAGCACCAAAAAACTCTCACTTTTAAGCATGCCAGCCATTTTAAAGTGAATTTCAAACGAAAATTTTGTCAGTACACAGCGCAATCACTAACGTCGGTACTCGAAAATACGTAATTTGAAAAAAAATTGGTATGTCCGGGTGGTCGTAAGTCGAGGAGTAGCTGTATATTAAATGCGTCTTCCGAAAGCGTGAATTTGCTACCAGAGATCAACAGTATAAGATTTGTGATAAACTTCCTACGTGCTCATGTTTGAAATGATGAATGTTTGTATCTTTATATAATTTAGCTAAATATCTTTCTCGTCAGAAACGGTCATCCCAATGATTATGAATGCAGCAATCTTATTTAGAAATACATCTTTACTTCAGGACGAAATCAGACAGATTTGCAACAGCCAATTAGCTGTAATTCTTGAGAAGGGGGTGAGGCATCTCTTCTCAGCTGGGAAAAATGCACAAGAGCAACTTTTCCTTTTAAACTTAATGTAGCTTTAGTAAACTAAAATGCTTTTCTGATAAAGGAAGTCTTTCAATTATTTTAATTTACAACCTGTAAATGGTGGAATAAACTAGATGAGTTTTTGTTTATAATTCACAATAAGGTGTAGACAAAAGGGATGCAACAACTAAGAGGCTATAGTACTTGCCTCCTGTACTATGGGTTACTGGTTTATGCTCCAGGCACCCCAAGTTCACCCAAACGTGAATGAGTACCTAACTTTATAGTTGGAGAAATAAAGGTGATCAAGTGCATCAACAGCCACACTGCCTCCTCCAGTACCAATGAGTTAATATACAGTGTGCTATATCTGCTCACTATCCACAATAAGTCATCAGGCCTATGGGACCCACTTTCACTCTTCACTGTATAATAAATACATTTATTAAAATATATATTTCAGTGAGAAGTGGAGCTACTATTTCATGACTGCTATGACAACATTTACAAGTAACATCTTCAAATACTAAACAAAATATTTTACAACTGTTCAAACCGAATAATTAATCCTTATATAATACCTGTACTGTAAAACATGATAAATTCAGGGAACCAAATCAACGGAATTTTCTGCAAAACCATGGTTTCATTTTTGGAAGCACTAATATCAGTGAAATTTAAATACATTTACTAATTTCTAGTTAAAAACACATAAAAAATGTAATAGATAAACAATAAACTATGAAAACTGAGGCTTTTGGAAGTCTACTGTTAAAAACTCCACAATGTCAACAACCTAAAGCAATCCTGGGCCTAGCTTCTTAAAAGTTCAAAAATTAAATTTTCCTTGTAAGTGGAAATGTAAGTGCATCAAATTGATTCACTCATGTCACAGTATGAAGATTATGTTCAAAGAGACATGAGAATTACAGTACAATAATGTATACTAACTGCAAAAAGGCTCAGCCTTAGCAAGACACAATCTATGAATTCTAATTAAGTAAAAGACATTAAAACATAATTATTTGAGAATCAAGACTCTGGCAGCCTCAGTGCATTTTCACCACTGAGTCACCTGGACTTCGAGTACAGTACTGTTGTTTATTTTAAATCTGTTATACTCAAATAGGAAAAGCAATATAATTCTGAGGTCTTTATATTTAAAGGCAAAAAATATCTTTCTTTGTCTTGTTATCTTTACCTTTTCCCATGACTTTCTAGACACCTTGCAATACTTTCCCCCATTATCTTTCCTCCTCTCCATTTTGAGGTTTGTTTATTCTTTGATCTAATCCATATATGTGTGTGCAGGAGAAAAGAAGAGATAAGACACTTATTCTAGTACAGTAATGCTATCAGCTTGGTTTGATTTACCTACCAACAACATGAACACAATTGAACAAGTACAGAAGCATAGTCTGAATTTAAGTACATTCTTCCACCTAAATAACATTCATAACTTTTTATAAATTCATTGTGTCATGGTCACGTTGACTGCTGATCTATTTAACTAATGATTCTTATTAAACTCCACGCCCGCAAAACATGAGTGAGTTAGCGACCCCTGAGAAGACGTGTTTTTTCCCCATACACGCTACACTGTGTACCCTCCCAGAGTCCCGCCTTTGTGAAGACAGTTGTCAATGCGTTGTTATTCCACTTTCTCCTGGGAAGCTCAATCTTGAATTAGTCTGTGTAAATCAACTCAAGTAATTCGCCAGACCTTTGTCAACTGAGGGTCATCTTTGAATGAGTAACAGTTAGTTTGTTTGTAATTATTGTCATTGCATGAGTAGCGATCACTGGCAACTCAGGGGTATATAAACTCAAGATGGGCAGGGAAAGCGTTCCATGACGCTGCTCCCATGTTTCTCCAGGTATGTTTGGTGTAGCCATTCAGTTAATTCAGTCAATTGTAGTGAATATCAGTGTTCACCAGTGTTCATGATTTAACAGTTGAATTGTCATTCACCCAGTGTAGAAGTAATATAACGTAAATATGTCTGTCGTCTAGACAAGAGAGTTTGTTTGTGTTGTCATGTTCCCTGACGCTGCTCCCATGTTTCTCCAGATCCCATTGTGATTCTTGAATCGCTCTACCATCCAACAACGGCCTCGGATGTAGTAGATGACCAACAGGGATCATATACGAAACGATGGCACCGATGCGGCCTGATTAATGTGCCCCACGGCTTCGTTGGGCCAGACCCCAGACTCGCCATGTGTCTGGCTACCCCACAATAACAACAGTCGAGCCCCAGTACTCTACCCTGGGTTGCTCCCTGGAAGAGTATGTCCACAGAGAGGGTTGTAACATGTATGTTAGGGATAATTAGATGGAAATAATTATCCCATGTTGGGTAGTGGACCCCTGTATATGCTAGTTTAATTATTTACGAGTATGTTGAGTAAGTACTGTAATCTACAATGAGTGCCATGTAATGTAACACCAGTAATGTTGTGAGTAAGAGTAAAGAAGAAGCGACTGAGCTTGCACTAAGCCCAGGAGTTGAGCCTGGTAGTTATATGTTTAATACAATATCTTTCCCCATTGATTGCACATTAATAAACTTGTTTTTTAGAGAACTTTAGGTGTATTCATTTCTCCCACAGTATCTTACCTTTATTTCCATCCAAGTGACTTGATATCAGAATTACTATACCCACGTGCCTAGACCCTAGACCATGCTACCAAAAGAATGTCCATGCTACCAAAGAATAGGTGACGGAACTGAGTAAGAGTAAGACTAAGAGAAGTAAGTAAAGATGAGGGGGTGCAGACACAAGAGGGAACCCGCGCCCTCACATTGGTGGCAGCGCCAGACATGCGCTCTCACAATTGTATTCAAAAGAACTACAATGCAACAACTAATGTTCTTTGTAATACAAGTAATATTTACAATGATTGTTGCATTAAACAGACTAAAATATTCAAGTCATTACAAAAAATACAGGATGGAAAATTCCTGTAAATATGACTTCTAATTAAATTGCTTCACTTATCCTAAAATACAGTAATCAATCAATCATCACAGCTTTAGATAAAAATGCTTCACAGTGTACAATGTCCCATTCATCACAGAGCTCTTCTATCCACTGTACAAACATTATATCCAATCTTGCGGATTCTTTAGGACCTCAGTGATTTTAAACTCTGGAGAACCAGGTTCTGGTTGGTGCATGTATTCCCATCGCTGTAAAAAAGGTGTCTTTTAGTCAACAGCTTTATTATCGATATCTTACTTCTTTGTGAAAATTACATTATGGAAACATTTTAAATTGGGGAGCTAAAGTTCAAATACCTAGTCATGGAGTCTTGGCATGTGGAACTGGAAAGGGTATTCACTACTGTAAAATCATAGCAAGATACTATAAAATAAGGTTTGCCATGACCATTTTACTGTGGTGGGTCACCATGTCATAAGTTTTAAACAAAAGCAGAAAATCACAACCACATAATATTTTTTACCAACTTAAAATTATTGAGATACAGTACAGTGGTCCCTCGGTTAACAAACACAATTCGTTCCAGAAGGTCGTTCGTTAACCGAATCCATTGGTTCAATGGGATATTGGGTAATTGGTTCCAGCTCACCGAAAACTACATACAAAGTATAAAAAAAATGCAGTAAAGTACACTTAATTTGAGGTGTGTATGTAGAAGGCTCCTGGTTGATGATGATGATGGGAATTAAAAGTGGGGTGGAGGAGAAGGGAGAAGAGAAGGAAGTGGGGATGGAGGAGAATTCACCTTTCAGGGGACCCATGCTTGATGCCGTCATTTCACCAATAAAATTTTAAGTTCACTCAGTGTAATTCAAGATTATTTTCTTTAAATCAACACTGCACTGCCCTATATATTATCAATATGTTAACTAAAGTTCAGAAAGGCCAATAATTTCAATGAAAAATGCAAAAATATTCAAGACACCAACAAAATAGTTGGTCTCTCGATTGTAAACAAAGCCAGACTGACACCTGGTGGCCGACCCACGCATCTGATGGGTGCACAACTAACTAGTTCCCTGTACAGTGGGGTGTGCTATAATGAACGGATCCTACTACGAATATTCCTATAACGAACGGTTTTACCTATAAAATTGAGAATGCTTTAACGAATGCAACTCCTACAACGAACGTGGATGAATACGGGACTATTTCGTCTGGCGCACGAATATTGTTGTACCGCGACTCACAACAAGAGCGTCAGGCACCATCTTTGTCTCATTGTGTAGCCAGTGCACCACTGTTATTGTTGAAATTTCGTCTTTTGATGTAGAAATACGAGTTATTTGTATAAATATTTTGTTATACAAGTGTACAATTGTAACAATGAATCGTCCAAAGCGAGTGAGAAAGCTCATAACCCTTGAAACTAAGAAAGAAATCATAAAGAAACATGAGAATGGAACAAGCATTGCGAAACTTAGTGATGAGTATGGGATGGCTAAATCGACTATATGTACGATTTTGAAGAATAAAGAGGAGTTGAAAACTGTGCAAGTGGCTAAGGGAATCTCTAGACTTAGCAAAGCAAGGTGTAATGTGATTGAGGAGATGGAAAATTTACTCTTAGTGTGGATAAAGGAGAAAGAAATGGCAGGTGATAGCATTAGTGAAGCTATAATTTGTGAGAAGGCCAGACAATTGTTTGAGGACCTTAAAGCCAAGACTCCCAGTGGAAGTGATAGTGATGTGCCAGTGTTTAGGGGTACCAAGGGGTGGTTTACTGGTTTCAGAAGGAGAAATAAATTACATAGTGTTGTGAGACATGGTGATGCTGCTAGTGCAGCTAAGGAACACCATGACATTTTTTTGAATGAGATTAAAGAGGGAGGCTGTGTTTCTCAGCAGGTATTCAACTGTGATGAAACTGGACTTTTTTGGACAAAAATGCCTTGCCGTACATACATTACCAGGGAGGAAACTTCTGTCCCTGGCCATAAGCCAATGAAAGACATGCTTACCCTCCTTCTTTGTGCTAATGCTTCTGGTGACTGCAAAATAAAACCACTCCTTGTTTACCATGCAGAAAACCCTAGAGCTTTCAAAAACATTGGTGTTATGTGGCGGTCAAACCCAAAGGCTTGGGTGACCAGGAGTCTTTTCTCTGAGTGGGTGATTGAGGTGTTTGGACCCAGTGTTCGGGAATACCTCAGGGAGAATAATCTTCCACTGAAAGCTTTGTTGGTCATGGACAATGCACCAGCCCACCCTCCTAATTTGATGGTTGAATTGCCAGAGGAGTTCATCTTCATCACTGTGCGCTTCTTGCCACCCAACACAACACCTCTCATCCAGCCCATGGATCAACAGGTAATTTCTAACTTCAAGAAGCTGTACACAAAGGCACTGTTTAGAAAATGTTTTGCGTCCACTTCTTCCAGTGATGTTAGCTTGAAGGAATTTTGGAAGAGTCACTTCAATATAGCAGACGCTGTGTTTTTAATTACCTCAGCCTGGAAAGAGGTTACTGTGAGGTGTCTTTGTGCTGCTTGGAGGCCATTGTGGCCTGAATGTGTCCTTCAAAGAGACTTTGAAGGCTTCGAAGAGTTAGAAGAAGAGGCTGTTGTTCATGAAATTGTGTCTCTGGGCAATTCCATGGGCCTGGAAGTGGATGATGATGATGTTGAGGAGTTGGTGGAAGAGCACAGTAAGGAACTGTCCACTGAGGAGCTGCTTGAGCTTCACAAAGAAGAAAATGAGACACTGAAGCGGAGCTTAACTTCTGAGGAGTCAGGGGAGGAGGAGGACAAGGAGGAAAGCCGCATCATTCCAGCCAAAGATCTCAAGGATGCGTTCTTTTGCTGGAGCAAACTGTCCAAGCTTGCTGAGGATTATCATCCTGATGTTGGTTCTGTGCAAAAGGCCATCAGTGTGTTTAATGACAATGTTATGAACTACTTTTGGAAGGTCCAGAAATCAAGGTTGAAGCAGCCAACCCTGGATTCCTTCTTTACAAAGTAACAAAAGACCCTACAGACAAAGTGCCTGTGAGACAGTCACCAAAGAGGGCTAGGAAGGATGACTCCTCTCCTTCCACCTCTTCTCCATAATTCTCTCCTCCCCCCTCCCCCTCTGCCTCCTGTAAAGTACCGTATTTTTTACATTTTCCACAGAATTTTTTCAGTGTTAAGTGGTTGTATTTGGGGGCCTGGAACGGATTAATCCTATAACGAATGAGGTTCTGGAACCAATTAGTTCGTTATAGCATACCCCAGCTGTTATATATATTACTGTATAAGAAGGCTTCCAACCGTGGGTTTAATCCTCTGACCTGACTACCGTTGATTGTATGTAGAAGTCCGCGTGTATTATTTGGGCCTGTATATATATATATATATATATATATATATATATATATATATATATATATATATATATATATATATATATATATATATATATATATATATATATATATATATATATATATACCTTGTTTTGTACTTCACCTTAGTCTGCACTCACCCATGAAGATATGAATTACACGAAAGCGCTTGGGAACTTCATGTTTTCTTCTTTCCTTGTGGTTATCAGCATACACCTAGGCCCCGACTTACGACGGGGTTAGGGACCCAAATCCAGGTCGTAAGTCCGACATGGTCGTAAGTCCGACATAGATAAAAAAAAAATAAAAAATCTACAATGAAATACAGTACAGTAAAAGTAATGAATAATGATGAATGGATACAGTACAGTGAAAGTAATAAATAATAAGGAATGGATACAGTGTGACTGAGCACTTAACCTTTAATGTAGTCAGCTGAATGCACATGGGGCCCCCATAATTTTCTAATTATACATGGAGACTACATTAACTGGAAACGTTTCGGTATAGAAAATGCGTGTCATTTTTTTTTTTTTATCTATATCTGAGGCGGTCGTAAGTCCCGACGGCCGTAAGTCCACGTAGTCTTAAGTCGGGGTCTAGGTGTACACTAATACAATAATAATGTTTTAGCATACAGGTATACCTGTACAATAATCCCCGGGTTACATAAGGGATGTGTCATGGAAAAAATGACCGTAACGTGAACCCCATTTTCCCATTGACTTCTATTACATCATTGGAGATCCATTCCTCAGAAAATTTTTATGGTAAAAAGGAGTAATACAACTTATACAAGCAATTTTATGAATGAGAATAAAATTTTTTAAACACACATTGATTATTTGAAGATACAGTAGGATCTTATGTTTCGCGACTAATTGGTACTGGTTTTAGCGTTGCGAAAGTTAAAATCGTGAAATGAGTGTCATTGAAATACATATAAATAAGCCTAATCAGTTCTGCGGTCACCCAAACCCCCCTATAATGACCTACAACCCACCAAGAAAATGACATAACAGTAATGTATTCATATATATTATATTGTACAGTCAGAAACCATAATTACTGGCCCACTCAGGTCGAGCGGTAGGTGAGACCAGGGGTCCTTACTGGTCGGCAGCTCACAGAGCGTCAACGCACCCATGAACACACAGAGCATCATATACCCTTGAATACTCATCACCAGTCGTTCAGGTCATACCTCCCCTTTACTCTGAATATAATATTACTTTTACTGCTCCCACAAATGTGAAGTAAATCAGTTATATGTTATGTCTAATGGACCACAAACATGTCCACTGACCGATGCTAAAAGGATATAGTAGCAGTTTTAGAATATGTCTGCTTAGGCCAACACAGGAGTACCCTGGTGATGCCCCACACGACATAATGTTGTCATAGTACAGCAGCAGGCCAAGTCTCATGCTTTAGTTAACCTACACAGTTCTCTGATACACTGAACATATCATTGGGCTGTCAGTACAACTCCTGCTGGCCGTGAAGGTCATCACCTCATTAGGCTGCCTGTCTATAAATATTAAACTATGAAACATCAAACATCACACCTCTAAGCAGTGGTAAATAATGTTAATACTGTATTGTTTATACCACAAAGTGAAGAATCTGGCAAAAGTTACTGAGGACTGTTTACCTGTATACTTCATATAAGTTGTGGTTACTTGTGGTCGTAAGTCCAAACTCGTGCACCAGCTGGCTAACATCTCAGGTTGACTCACTATATCTCCTTCACTCGCAGAAACAAACACCAAAGTCTCGGTGTGTTGTGGAAGTTACGTTAGAATAAGTAATAAATGTATCAAGATATGACAGTAGATACTCTTAGCGTCACTAGCCAGTGTT